TAATAATAATAAAATAAATAATAAAATACAATATTGAAATAATAAACTAATAAAATAATAAACTGTTCTATAACAATAGTCTCCAGTTTTACCATTTCACCAGCACAATTTAGTAAATTTCACCAACAACTCTAATACCTAACGTCTCATATTTTTAATAAATTCATTAATTGTCATTGGCTAATTCAGGAACTTTTAAATCTTCTTCACAAAGTTTCATAATATCCTGACATTCATTTTCAGGGAACCACACTCTCATATAGGCAGGGAGATTAATAATCCTTGACATTCCATATCTTAGGGTTGCTTTTTCTTCTGCCATCAATTTGACTTTGTTTTTAAGCATTTCTGCATGTGTTGATATATGGATAGTAAAAATATCTGTAACAAATTTTCTTGAAGATAAATGTCACTTTGATATGTTGGTTGGTAGAGAAGAACTGAAAATATTTTCAAAGGTAGGAACTTTTTCTTCTTCTTCGATTAATTTATTATCATTCTCATTATCATTCAATGAAATAAAATCTGATAGTGATAGTGGTCTTGTTAGTTTTGTACCATCAGGAAGGATGTTTCCAGAATGATTCATATCATCACGCTGTAGTAATTTGGTTTAAGTATATTTTTAAAAAAAATATATGGTTACGAATTAAATAATTACTTGAATCCAAGGTGATGAAAGTGAATAAATTCTATGTGGAGAAGTATGTTGTGTTCGTTCATCTTGAGAATTGGCTTGTATAGGGAAATAGTCATTTATTCTTGTCTGTTTTACAAGAGAATTTTGATTAGTCTGATCAATCCGCAATATAAAATGCAAAAAAATTAGTCGGCTGATTCTTAATTTATAAAGAAAAATAAAATCTTTTGCAGTATAGGTGATACTATTAATAGAATGTATTATTAATCAATTGATTTAGAATAGATATCACCTATACACAAGAGATCCAAAAAATACACGTTGATACTTTTCCGTGATTTGTTTGCATTGTCCTTTTTGATAATACATCGGGGTGGTTCCAGAAACATCAGACAACAAAACTGTCGAATTGTGGATGCTAACTGAAGGAACAGCTCTTTTTCTATTTAAATTATGCTCTTCTGCCCACTTTTTTGCACGTTTGTGATCAACCTGAGTTCCCTTGAATAAAATGAAAAAAAATAATTGGTTGGATTAGTATTCTGGATGTTACATCATTCAGTTTCCTAATCTATTATCAACACCATCAATTCCTTTGAATAACAGGCAACTGATCAGGTCGCTTACGTCTTGTGAGAACCAATGTTGGGTTAGCGAGCAGCTTTGAACACAGCAACTGAGCAGGTCATCTATGCCCCAACACCAGTTTTGTAGCTTAGCAAACAGCTTTTTTGAATGACAACAACCGAGCAGGTTCCTGTTACGCTATGATTTTCTACCTACGTATACATGCACGTATATTGCCCCAACAATAGTTTTGTAGCTCAGTAAACAGCTTTAAATGACAACAACCGAGCAGGTTCTTATCACGCACGCACGTATCTTTCTATATCTATCAAGTAGTTCCTTTGCTTTTTTTTTCTCTCGCCTTGCTCATGATCAAATATATTCTCAAGACATTTAAGATACCTATCTATCTTTCATTTGAAGAAGCTCTCTTTGTATTCATCAAGAAACTCAACAATATTCTATTTACTGGGCTTACGGTCAAAATACGTGGTAGCTTACATAGAGCTAAAACAAATAAAGGTTTATTTGGTAGAGTTAGGTGATTCGTTGAAATCGTGAATATTGAGCTTTAGTATGTCAGGACGTGTTTAGTGGTATGTACGTACATTTATTTCTGTAAGTGATATAGCCAAACGATCAAATAATAAATATTTATAGTCAGATAAATTTATATTATATTTACGGCATATTTGAGTTATCATAAGTCACTGTTTATCAGAGCAATAAACCATTAAATAGTTGGAAAATGTGTACCAGGTTGGTGATATAGTTTTTCTGATCTATGAATCAGCTTTCAAGATTAGGTATAATATAATACAATCAAGAAGATTCAAAACAAACGTTCGTTCTGCCAAAAATTGCTCATAACTCAAAAATCAGTATAAGAAATCACCTTTTGCGCTCTAACCAAAAGTTTTCATCAGACAATTTTACTATTAAAACTACTCTTCTCTAGTTTTTAACCCTAACCTTACCGAATTTTGTCTGCACCACCAACCTGGATAAATATATTACGTAGAGGTGCAAACATATTGTTGTAATTAGGTCGTAACCTAATTACTTCAATAAAAATAATCTGTTTTAAAATAGGTTATAACTAATTATGACAATATGCCTGCACCTCTAATATTATGACAGGATGAAACCCACATCAGAAGTGGTTATGGTGCAGGAAATTTAAAAACCTCAATCTTTCTATATAGAGGTAATATATAAATTTCAATAAAATGAAGAATTAAAGTTTCACAATCTTTTTGTATAGAAATAATACGTCAAAAAATAATATATGCTTAATAACAACTATCTTATACACACTGCTGAAACTTAAAACTAGATACGCACATAGTGCGAAGTATTCGGAGCATGCTAATAAAGTTTTAGAATTTTAAGCGATTAACATCACGTGGTAGACGGAAGAACATTTCATTTAGTTTACTTGTATACTAAGTGTATTTCCGCTACGTTCTAGACAATAAGCTGCTACTGATTGTTATAAAGTGATTGTAGTTTTAGATTTCTTTCACCGTACGTTATAGGCACTATGTCTAAGAAAATCCTGGGCTAAAGATGGCTTCCGACCCTAACCGGATCCAATAAAATTACAGGATCTCGTATAACAAAAATATAAAAAACATAAGAAATTGTAAAAAAAAATGCGAATAATACTAACTTCTAACCTTAAAGTTTTTTGTATGAAATTTTATTCATAAAATGCAATTTTTAATATTAACATACTTATACAGCGATCTGGGTTTGGTGAAATGCTGTTTTACTATTTTTTCTCTTGCCGTTTGAATTAGCAGATATCTGAATCTGTTTTTGGTGAAAAAATAGCCAAAAAAGAATATTTATAGTGTCACAAGATTGAAAGCGTTATATATAATATATTTGGTTTTGGTTTTAGTTTTTCTGTGCTATAGCAGAGCAGAAAAGAGCAGAGTGGAGCAGAGAAGAGCAGAGCAAACCAAACCTGATTACCCAAAAGCGCTAAAAAATTTTGTGTGTGTGCTTATAAGAAAGTGTACGATTTTTTGATATTATGTTGAAAAAATAGATAAATTTTTGTATGTATATTACAATCCATTTTGTTATTTTCTTCTTTACCTTTTTTTTTCTAGTTTTTTTGCCACCCTGATAAGTTGATAATCTAAAGTCCTACTTTTTCTTACTTTATAAAAAGTGAAATGTTCATACGATTATAAATGAATGTGATTTGATTTAATTTTTAATGTATCTATATAGTGATCTATGTTTAGTGAAATGCGGTTTTGCTATTCTTAACTGATGATATTTCATCATCTAAAAGTTCTATTGTTAGACGTTTGGTTTTTCGTCTGATGACATTAATAATGATAAAGTAATATATTGTGTAACTTTGCTTATCATTTTAAAACTTCAATATTCTTTTATCTGATTAAATTATTTCATTTTTTAAACTTCGTGTTGATAAAAAACTATCCGTATTGTATTGAGCTAAACTATCTCTAATTTTGTCAAAATACCTGTTGATTGTTAAAAGCCCTTTTATTTTATTTAATAAATAATAAATAAATATTAATAGTAATTAATAATAAGTATTATGTGTAAATATACATGTGTGTGTATGTGAATTCTTTTTTTTTGATTAAAAAAGATTGAAAAACATGAACTATCCATCTATTATTACGAATTTTAAAGAATGTGATTTATAATCTATCAATTGCGTGGGTGCTATTTGGATTCATCGATCTCAGTTCTTCCCACTGATTCGAGTTATCTATTCTACTCTACTTCAGGTACAAAATGTTCAATGATACCAAGCTGTTTATTGATTTGCTATGTATCTTCAATCTATCTATTTCGATTACACTAGATACGGTATTGAGAAAGACGAATCAATTATTCTTCGCAATTGCTATAACTTTTTTTATACTTTAAAGATAAGTTCAGATATTAGATTTATATCTAAGAATATTTTTAAAAATATAAGAAATATTTTATGCTGTTTTGATCAATTAAGTATAATGTCAAGCGTTCAGTTTCTCTACTTAAATTTTGCTAAAAAGTTCTCATTTCTGATCATTTGGGTTCCTTCCTTATTTTCTTAGACAACTTACCTCTTTGTGTTAATTATTCTTATAAAGATGTACTGATGTTGTTTCTTTCTGATCTTCTCTTTTTGAGTATTGGCAATAATGTAAGAGAACGTGAAGAGCCTTGACATAATGATGGTTAGAATACGTTAAATCTTATCATCATAATCAATCATCAAGTATTTTGATACGAATTTATTGTTATTCTTATTATTATTATTTTTAATTCTTGTATTGAATAAATGAATTTTTTTTCTTCTGTGATACATTTGATGAATTTCTAAATACTTAAATCCAACAAATACAATAACAAGGATACAAAAAATATTAAATAAAAAACACGTTTGTCTCTATGTGTTTTTAAAACATAATCCTTTATAATTTAACTTATTAAGTTTGGCTCAAACCTATTTGTATTCACTAATTTCTAACTACTTTTCAGAATTAAATTGTATTTTTATGATGCTTTAAGTTTTTAAAAAATGTCTATTATGTGAGCTTCTCAAAAAAAAACAATTGTTTATTTTGTGGTTGCTAATTTTTTCTACCACTTCTGATTGAATCTACTAATTATTCACGTATCAAGGTATTTGTGCTGTTAATCGGTTTTATAGTACTCCGTTAGTGAAGTACTGAAGAAAATTGATAAACTTCAGTAACTGCAAAATGATTATTCGACCGATTTTTTATAGAGTATCCTAAAATTTAAAAGAACAATTGTAAACTAATTGAGTAACTTTTTAAACAAATCAATAAATTATGATCGATCTTTATGTTAATCTGGCTAAATAACCGTTCAGGTATAAATTTTATTCATTTGGTAAATAAGTTTTTTTATTATTGTATATTAATTTTCGAGTCAAGCTCACTGTATCTTGATTAAATTTATAATGATTAATAAAATTTTTATTTTATTTTAATTAACTACATATTTATACAATGTACTGTTCTGTTAAGGTTATGTAATTTTTTCTATTCAAAATTTATACAAGACTTTTTTAACTACATCCTCTGTGAATGTGTTCATTATGTAAAATTTCTTTAGACGCACAATATAGCCTGACTCTATCTTATAACGATATTATATATTATACTTTCTATAAATACACACCCCTCTAGATACACAGTTTTAAGATTTTTTACTGTAACTCTAAGACAGGTACGTATGTATGTTTAGGGTGATCCTCTGTATATGATTAATTTATTATGAGATAAAATGATATTCACAATTTTTACTAATAAATATATTTGATTGTGTATATCTTAAACTCGTGATTCTATTTAATATACCACTATTAATGTGGCTATTAATTATAAAGTGTGACTCATAATGTGACAATAGATGACTAATCTGAAATAAAAATTAGTCACGATAACACGTGACTGATATATTAAAAAAAAAATTCGAATATGGTACAAGGACAACATACTAAGAAAAAAAAGCTAAGTATACTATACGGACAAAGTGTTAAAAAGAAAAGGCTAAGTATACTACACAGGCAAAATGGTAAAAAAAAAAAGCTAAGTATCGGTATCAAGCTCAGATCAATGTTAAAGAAAATATAATCATAAATGAGTCATATCGTAAAATATTAATTGACTCTTCAAAACCCTTTTTTTCCAAAAACTCATTAAAATTAAAAAAGCTTTAATCATGAAGAAGATAACGATTTTGACAAAAGTCTCTTAAGTCTCTGGCTAATTGATTGTTATAAAAATGCTATGATTTTATTATCATAAAAAAGCCAAACCCTCTGAATCAAGTTTCTATGATTTGATATAATAAATTTTAATTTATTACTTCTAATTCATCAAATTAAACCCTTAATAATTGCCCTATTAAATTTTCTTTGTACATAGATCTGTTCTTATTATTTGATTCCTGTAATAATATTCGTTATATCATCTTTATTTGTAGCTTTCTGTTTCGCTAAAAATATTACTAGGAATGATAATTATATCACTAAAACTGCGTTATATCGAATAAACAACGATAGTAATAAATTTAGAGAAATTGTCTTCAAAGGTTTTAGTAAAAATCGTAATTCGTTAGTTATTTCGTTCAAAAAAAATTATATTGTCTTGATGGTTGGTCATTATATGTATGAAGGAAATATAGAATATGTATATATTAATTCCTGTTATCGTTTTGTCAGAAATATTATAAACTCGATTCACACTTCATGGTTTTTATAGATTACTGTAGTTCAGTCCGTTTCCATATTTCATTCTGATGATAAATACACTCTTACCCCAGAAGATCTTCTAAAATCATCTCTCTTATTACTTTTCTTGGCTTCTGTAGTAACAAATTCATATATCCTTGACAATAACAGTGGTTGAGAAAGTTTCATGTTAGCGAGACGTTTGTATAATAGTGTCACTAACAATAAACATGTTGATTCTAGGATTATCGTATCATATATGATACTTTAAAAAATAATCTAAAAAAACTATCTTATCTGTTGTAGGTCAGTTAAAACTCAGTTTAAAAAAACTTCTACATATTCTTGCTTCTGATATTGAATGGTCCTATCTGACTGGTAATCTCCAACCTTCAAATACTTCACCTAGTGGAAAAACATCTTCACAAGGAGAGCTTGACACGCAACTTGAGAGCATCGAAGAAAAATATGTTGCTTTGTTATCTCAACTTCCTCAAAAAAGACAAAAACTTAACTTTCAAAATTCTTCATCTAAACTCTCAAATAACAAAACTATATATCAAAATTTTGTTGATGTCATTTCTCAAATTTAGAAAGAAACTTCTTCTGCTGAACTTTCTTATATAAAATCTAGCTCACAGATTATTAATAATAAACGTAATTTGCAATATATAAATGAAACTCTTGTCTCTACTATTTCTCGTATAGTAGAAAAACCTACCTCCCCTATTAATGATAATGATCTCACTAAACCTACTTGCTCTGATACTTCTGCTCTTCAGAGCAAAGTACCTGAAACTAATAAAAGATGTTTGAAACCACTTCTACTTGCAAAAAAATAAATCATTATTGCTCTTTTTTATGATGTTTTTTTTTTTTGTATAAAAAAACCTATTTGTTTTATTATATGTGAATTCTATAGATTGATCAATAAATACTATTATATTGACTTTCCAATTACTATATTTAATATAATCTATATTTAAAACTTGATTTTACGTACAAAAAACCCATACTGTATTATGTATTAAATCTTATTCAATTTATGTTACTTTTTTTATTTTTTCATGTATACATATGCATGCGTAATAATGTATTGGATAAAATCAATCATACTTATATAAAACAAGCTATACTATTTATTTATTTATTTATTTATGTAAATTAATTTTAACTGATCATCGTTAATGCATAACTTAAAAAATGATCCATTAAAGTATCTCAAAAAATAAATTTCAAATACCATTTTCAACATGATTAGTAAATAATCATGTTGATGCTTATAATAATCGATATTGATCATAATAATACTCATTTACTATAATCCAAACAAATATTAAAATAGATACTTATCTATTGTCTATTGAATACTATTATCGAAAATTATAATTCTTATTTAAAACCTGTTATTTTTACATCTTCCTTGATATTGAGTTATTTTATCAGATAAAAGATTAATCACAAGATAATCAAATTTGAACGAAATTTATTATTCATTAAATTTATCATTTTTTTTTATTTCTTATAAAAACTTTTTAAATATGAATAAAATGATAAATTCATTAACGCTAAAATAAAATTCATGGTAGATGATCTCTTTAAATACGTATTTTTCAGATTTTACTGAAAAAAAACACATAATCGTTCAATTTTTTTATATAATCACATATATCACATATTTATTATGTATTTTATTAAATTATTCCATTTTACGAACTCTACCATTAATCGATGATATATAACTACACTATTAACAACTAATTGTAATTCTTTAATTTCTTTCACGACGATTATTTTGCTCTCTTAGTTTATTGTCTTTGATTATATGTTTTAAATTTTATACTAGTGATATTTATATTATAATTTTTATTTTAATTGCATTTAAACCCCAATTGATATTATATAAAATGATTATTCTTCTAGATTTTACTAAAACAACATAACCCAACAATATATCTAAACTTTTAAATCTAAATTGCGCTTATAATTACATCTATAAATGATTTTATAATTAAAATATATCACAATACAAATAATGAACTATCGATATGACTTATAATGTAGCGATAAATAACTAATATAAAATAAAAACTGATCACAATGATGATACATAAGCGATATGTTAAAAAAAACTGATTATCATGCTAAAACCAGATAAAGTGAAAAAAACATTATATTCTTGAATAGATCATTGAAACACATGAAAAATATATTAAGAAAAAGCTGATTCTCCAATTCAAACTAAAAAAAAGAAAAAACATAAAATTATTAAAACAAGTTATAGATTAAAATATTTGACTCAAGATCCTTCTCTTTTGAAACTCTTAGCTTTGTGATTTAGGCCGTAAAGACCATAAAATAATTGACTTATACTTCTTTATTATCATAAAAAATTATAAAAACCCTATATAAAATCAAAAAATACTTCGAATCAGAAATATCGTTAATAAAACTTAATTTTCAATTTTTAACTTCTTTTATACTCTTATTCGTTTTGTATCGTCTGACAAATTTCTTCTTACAACCATATAAAAACACTCCAAATTTTCTGTTCTTAACAAAAATACCACCAATAAAAAAAAAAACGCTGAATTACAATATTCAAACTTTTCATCTTACCTCTTTTGCCGAAATATTAACATTACCCATCGAAGATTCTACTATTCCTCTTACTAATAATATCTTTAAACTATATATTCTTAGAAATGAGATAAATCAAAATTTATCAAACACTTCTACTAACTTTAATATTCCTAATTCACTACCTCCTTCGTGCGAGACTGTTAATTTTTTGTATCAACACTTAACTCCAGCCCTTTGTCGTCTCATACATCATTTTCAAACAAAAATCTTATCAGATTATCCAAGTATTCCTTGTGCATATTGTTCGATTCTTATGTCAAACTCTTCTATACGATAGATTAACTATATTGAAAATCATCCGTATACTATGCTACAAGCTTTCTCACTACCTGTTTATACTAAAAGAAATAATAAAAATATTGTTTAAGTTGCTGTTTGCAATATATGTAAAAATGAGAAAACACATTGTTATCATTCCGTATTAGCTCACATTCCTCCTTAAATATATAATGTTCCTATGTTTCATAGAAAATACCTCTCTCTCGTTTTCATGAACTGCTCGCTAGGTCAAACTACAGATACAAATCTCTACACCAACTATCGTCATCTTGAAGGTACTTATCAATCCATCACACAATTACAGAACTCTCCAACTATATTCTAGATTAATTGGATATTACTTGAATATTAATGAACTACCGAATTGGTTTCATGTTTCTTTGTTTTCTATATTTAAATGGCTTAAACAGATGAATCCTCTTATTTGTGAATATGCATCGAGCATAACTATTGACTATCCAACCCAACAACACCTATCCCTATTCCTTTACTTTTAGCCTAACAATCACTCCAAACTACTACCTGTTCTACTAATACATACCGAAGCAATGTTCTTATAATTTATCTTGTCCTCCTGATTTAATTGTTTCAAATATTTCTTTTTCTCAAGAAATTCGTAATAAACACGCACATTACAATCACTTGTTAGCCAGTTCAATAATTAACACAGATAAACCCGTTATGTTTAATAATCCTTATCTAAAAGCTTTAATATTTTCTGACTTATTTCCTAATGGTCAAGGTCATTACAAAAATATGAAACAATTGTTAAATATTCAACCTTTGATTGATAGTTACGGAAAATACATAAAATTACGTCTACTTTGTCCTGATCCTCATTTCCGTCTCTATTGATATTAGCCTCATTGGTCATACTTAAACCTAGAAAAAAAAGAAATTTCCAAAACCAACATTGTATACTGTCAACCAGAAATATTAATTGCAAATATTACCTAACAAGAGCAGATTTAATCGCTAAGAGCTCTTATAATACCCAAAACATCATAAACAAAACAAAACTACTACAATCTCTTCAAGCTTCTGAACTGCTGCTCCTTTTTTTCAATGAAAACAGTATCAGGTTAATACTATGATGAGCTTCTATAGTCTACCCCAGATTTTTTATACAGTGACCATGGCTGAAGATAAATGGCCTCATTTACACGAAATACTAAAACAAACTGATAACAGTGATACATTACCTACTAATCATCCACTACACACTTATCTATTCTACCATAACTACTTAACCAATATTTGTAACAAGCTTTGGAAACACCCAACCCTTTCTAGGTGGGTAAATGGAATTATTTTTTTGAATGCGATGAATTTCAAAACTGTGGAACTATACATACACACGGTTTCACATATACAGAAAAAAAAATTCCTGGATTAATCTCTCTAAATATAATTCGAGCTGATCTCTCTGATCTTATCTCTAAACCCAAATTACATACGTTAGTGTTATTGTTTCAGATACATCATTGTGATCGCAGGTGTGGTAGTCTGAATCCCGATAAAAATCCATACTCGAAAGGTTTTCCTCAACCTTTATCCAAAAAAAACTTATTATTCACAACATTCTTTACGCTATATCTATCGTTGTACTAAAAATAAAGATAGAATGGTAGTTCCTTATCACCCTGAAATGTTATTAGTGTGGCGTGGCCACATTAAATTTTAATATATCACTCTACCGGCTTTGCCAAGTACATAACTAAATATATTACTAAAGCCGAACTCTCAGAATGATTCAATATTGATGAAGCTAATAATAATAGAAAACATATCATGGCAAGGCAGTTAGGCGCTATGGAATTAATAATACTTCTGCTGCAATACTCTTTGATGTGATGTTTGGTCTCAGTATACTATCTTCCTTCTGCTCCCTTTGATTTACGGTAAGATCTGTAAACCGATTCATCTCTTATACGATAAAAACGATAATGACGATGATGATGATCAAGATGATGAAACACCATATTGGGATGATGCTATCGATAAATACTTTGACTGCTCTGACTATGAATATTTTTGTAAAATGATGTATTCTGATTATTTTTGTGATTACATATATAGATCTAAGTTACCTGGCCCAAACTTGAAACTGTTTCATACCTGAGATCGAAAAAACAGAATAGTATCACAAAGGAAAATATCTGTTCTTTTACATTTTACTAGCTACAAAATAGACGATAGAGAACCTTTTTTTTTTAATATCTTATTATGAAATTTCTAGTTAGATCAGAACTCGAATTATTATATGACCATACATGCTACAGTACCAGACAGTAAAACGCATCTAATATTTATTAGTAAAAACTTTAAAGTGTTATAACTTTTTGAAAACAAGCTAAATTAAAAAATCCTCTGACAAATTGATAGATTTTTAGATAAACTACATTTCTGTCAGAGGATTTTTTTTTATTCTTTGTTTTGAAAAAGTTATAAAGGATTAAAGTTTATATGAGTTTAAAAAATTGGCATTTAATATAGAAAAAAAGAAAATATATATATAATTTTAACCAATCAGAATCAATTATGCAAAAATTAGCCAATCAGAATTAATTATATAAGCATCAAAAATTGGCGCCTCTATGTATAGATTGGATGTCTTTTACTGTCTCGTACTGTACAAAGAACAATTTCAATCTGTTTTTCCTATTAAATCTACCCTTAAAATTGATTCAATTCGTCGAAGTTACATTCTACAAAAAAATAATTTATCAGATGCTTACAACATACTAATACAATCACTCGTATCTGAATTCCAAAACAAAAATTATCTATCTTAATTTTTAATCAATTCATTTCTCTAGAAAAATATACACCTCATTCTGATAATCATTCTCTTCTAACTCTTAACACTAAACAATACAAAATATATAGCCTTTTATGTAACATATGGGGAAAATCAAAT